AATGTGATAGGCCAGGGCAGAACGGGAGATACCATGACTGTTTAGCACACGTTTGTTCAAAGGATTGGCTTTACTTGTATCTTTTACGAGTTATAATATGGTGCTACGAGTGGTAATACTCACTGACGATGCCGACTACGATGCCGGCGAATGGTGCTAAGAATGGAGATACTCACTGACGATGCCGGCGAAACGTCTGGGAATGTACCACGTCCACGGTCTTACTTTGGAAATGATCATGCAGACAATGGACCCCGGACTAGGTGCGTTCCAATAAGTCTTCCTACCAATGTGACCATTCAGGACAAGGTGCGTTTCTATAAGTCTTCCTACCAAAATGACCAAGGAAATGATCATGCAGACAATGGACCCCGGACTAGGTGCGTTCCAATAAGTCTTCCTACCAATATGACCGAGTTGCGAAAAGAAATAATTATGCATACAATGGACTCAGGACAAGGTGCGTTTCTATCAGTCTTCCTACCATTATGACCAAACGATGATGCATACAATGGACTCCGGACTAGGTGCGTTTCTTTAAGTCTTCCTACCAATATGACCGAGTTTCTAATTATGCAGACAATGGACTCAGGACAAGGTGCGTTTCTATCAGTCTTCCTACCAATATGACTGAGTTGCGAAAACAAGGTCAAACAACTTCTTGATGCATACAATGGACTCCGGACTAGGTGCGTTCCTCTAAGTCTTCCTACCAATATGACCAAGTTGCGACGTGGCGATACTGGCGATGCCGGCGAAACGTCTGGGAATGTACCACGTCCACGGTCCTACTCTGGAAACGATGCTGCAGACAATGGACCCCGGACTAGGTGCGTTCCAATAAGTCTTTCTACCAATATGACCAGTTTCGAAAACAGCATACAATGGACTCAGGACAAGGTGCGTTTCTATCAGTCTTCCTACCATTATGACCAAGTTGCGAAAACGAGGTCAAACAACTTCCTTACTATACATGCTTTGTAGAATATGATGCAGTTAGAGAATGGCTAAATCCAGTTAATTCTTATAACTTAATGTCATATTAATATTTCAGCTTGGCTTTATGCTGTTCAGGTGCTCTGTTCCTTAGGATTGATTTCTTATTCTATCGCTTTGTTTATTACGTCATGTCAAATGGCAGATGTGATTAGAATAAAAAGTCTTGCAATCATTCGAAACCTTATGATAATCCATTTTTTCACAGGTTGGTGTGAATTCAAATCATGTCCACTTCTATGCAATATTTTTATAGTTCCATTATGCTACATTTTAAGCTATTATTTTTGAGGCATAACCCTTTATAATTAAACGTCTTACACTGCTTGCTTTTTTATTAATCACGCTGGGATTGGCATTCACTGGTTAATATTAATACAAAATCCAACTTGTGATCAAAGCAGCTGTTAACTTTTGATATTAGGAATAAAGTTAATTCCGTTTTGATATAATATTCATGTTATTATGACAATAAAAGATTAGATGCTTATACTAGAAATTAGCCATTCGCTTAGCCTAAACAATATGGAGGAGATAAATATATAAAACATTAGAGGAGATTGAATTTATTAATCAATTATCTTTGGATCTAAGTCTTAGAAAGTTGTTCTTTTGTGTATCATATGTTAAATTGAGTATACTAAACAATCTATTCCTAAAAAGATAGACGTATAGGAATTGCTTCCAAGAAATTTATAATTAAAGGATAAGTACTAATCTATTATTTAGCTTACAGAAGATGCGAAACACTTTAAATATTATTAAAGAATTAAGCCCAAAATATAGGGTTTACATGAATTTAGACAACTTTTTGTACCATAGAATGAGTTAAATGCGTTTTTTTGAGCGG